CCTACGACCACTTAGGAAAGTGACACATATTACACTATGGAAAGTGCCCTATATCACACGCGTATGAATAAGAATTTACTTTCCACCCGTGTACGAATATGCTACTTTCCGCAGCAGCTGTCACAAAATGTCAATTGCATCATTTCTATTTTGATCTTTGTAATGTCCATATTAATACTAAAATCGATATGATTGTTAAATTATTGAAATTGTTGTAAATTAGATCCTAGATATTTATCTTTAACAATTATTATTAAAATAATTTTAAAATAACTAAGATATGTTTGCTCTTTATTCTGGTTACACACATAACCGATTAGATCATTAAATTGACGCATGGCCTATTAGCTTAGATGGTTAGAGCGTCAAACTTATCAACTTTGCCATTTGAAACTTGGCGAGCGACCGCGTTCAAATCCTGGCGGTTTTTTTTTTATTTTTTTTTGTTTTTTAATTTTTTTTTTGTTTAGAAAATATGAAAATTGAATAAATACGATTATTGTTGATTATTTTTTTAAATACGTTTTAATTATTATAATAATAACCTGGTTTTACATTTTTTGATGAAATTATCTTGTGACCGTAGGAAAAATATTGTACATCACTTGTGTGAAAAGTGATTTTCCACACTCGTGTGAAAAATGTCACTTTCCACACTCGTAATGTAATATACTATTTCATGCAATAAATACTTTAAAAAGATAATAAATAATAAAGTTATGTACTTTAAAAAGTTCACTTTTAAATCAATTATTTAAAATACTTTATTTTCACGCGTCATAATGAAGCGCCTAATTGGTCACTAAAGAATCTGTGATACCATAACATATCGTTATCTTTTTTCAATAGTGACATTTATGATAGTTATTCTTTCTAAATTGGGATTAAAATTGCTTGAATTTTTTGGAATTTTAAAAATTTTTGTAGGAAAAAATTTGTGAAGAAAAAATAAAAGAAAAATTTCATATTATATTTTTGCTAGCTTTCAGAAAAATATATTTTTGAATTGCACTATGCACGCCCATTACTGCAAGATCTTTGTAGATCAGGTGCAATATAATGCTGATTAAAAAAAATTAAAATAAAATTCATATTTTTTACACTTTTTCATCCCCCGACAATTTTTTCCCTTCTGTCAAATCATTCTCTTTATTGATAAATATAATTTAGACAATTTTGCTCGCTTACTAAAAAACAAATGAGAGCAGCTGGAAAATTAATTTAATACATTATTTGTTTGGAAACCAATTACATTTTAATCACTTTGTTTAAACCAAAGAATATTTTTCTTAAAATTTGTATCCACCCGTATTAGAAAAATCGCATATTGCAGTTCAGAGCCATGGTGCCGAAAGTTATCGCGATCGACGGCTAAAGTAAACCATTATTACTTGTGATGCAGTGGCTTGGAATCCTGACACGGGCGCATGGGTCACGTGACGAGTCACGTTTTTATTTCCCTGGAATTGATTAATGTAAGGTAATGATACACATAAAAGTAACAAACTGTCTGTAATATTTTAACATGAAAATATGAGGGATTTAAATGGGATCTATAGAAACAGTATTTGTATGATTTGGATAGTTACTGAAGAGTGAGAATATAAAGAGTGAAATTAATAAAAATAAGTATGTAATTGACTATAGAAATTTAAATACAGGGTGGCACACCGAAAACTTCCCACCCTGAATATCTTCCTTCCAGTAAATAATATGAAATTCGAGAAACGCTAAAATGGTGGTTCCTACCTTATCGAGACTGAGGTCCACAAGGGTAAACTCGAAGCGTAACAAAAACGAGAAATTATTTAACTTGGAACGAAAGACCGAAATCTGATAGTAGTATTAGGACGTTGATTTTTTTGTTTTGTGAAGCATTGGCATTACTTAGGTTAAACCATGTGATGATTTTCACAAACCTTGATTTTTAAAACCATTCTATATCGCCTTTTGATTAGGGTTTAAAAACTCGTTCGGGCAATTTATCCAATAATAATTGGCTCCTTTACCTCTTAGGCCTGCTCATTTAAAATATTTGGGCTCCTTACTTCGCCTATTTCTATTCTATTAATAAAGGACAGAAGGATGAGTATTGCAACTATGTTAAAAGAAATAAATTCGCTTTCAGTTCAGAATTATGTTTAGTACATGACTGATATTTATTTATAAAATAAAAATGACATAAATCCATCGCATCAGATCTATTAGAAAAAATTCAATATAATTCACAATCTCACAACTATAATAGAAGAAGCCAATCTGACTTTCATGTACGGCAAGCCATCACTAAAAGTTCCCAAAATACAATTTTTATTAAAAGTTTTAAAAATTTAATAGACTGCCTACAGAAATTAAAAAAAACAACAATAAATGTATTCAAAAAAAACATCAAACAATACTTGATAAATAAACAGAACGGATATACTTTCTTGTGATAATGCTCTTTAATAAACCTGCCCTTTTTAAGTATTTTCCTTAATTTATTGATATTTTACCCCTCGTTTTACCTCGTTTTACTACTTACTATGTTTAAATTATTAATAGTTTTGTGACGATAGGTTATAGCAACTTACAGCCACAAAACTATTTTTGTGTTAAAGTAGATCCATAGAGAGCAATGTAATTTACAAAGGCCTTCTTTCAACATACAAATAAATGACAACTTTATAATTAAAATGAAAAACACAACAAAATACCTCGGTATTATAATTGATCAAAATTTGAAATGGGTTAATCACATTACGTCATTTAAATCTCAAGGTAAGAAGATTCATTTTTAAATTTTATGAACTGAGGAAATTTATGACTAGAAGTTTACTAATTATTATTTACAATTCGCTGGTTGAATATGTAATCCAAAATTGTATAATTAAAATTATCTACAAAAAACCAGCATCATATCCTAACTTTTTAATATAATAAAAAAGTGCTTTGTATAACAACATTATATTATTTGTCTTGCTGTACCTTTATTTATGGAATTGCCAGAATTGAGATACACTACAAGTTATTTGCAATAAATATCAAAAGAAGCATACATTTTTAAATTATTTGACATTTAAGAGCCATTCACACATCACAGGTGACATCTTGATACTTGACAGGCACAGCCTAGCATTATTCTGCTTTTTGCCAAATAAAATAGCCGGTTAATTATTCTATGGGGTTTCGACAGAGAGCCAGTAAATTTGATGAAGGTGTTTTTGTGGCTAGGGGCGAAATAGTACGCTTAAGTTAGCACCACCATAAAAAAGTCATTTTTAAGAAACTGCTTATATATTTTTCATAAATTGGCAGGCTTGGCGACTAATTTCGAACAACAATGGCCTTCAAAATTTCTATGGTTGCAAGTATGAAGGTCGCAACCAGCCTTAGAAATTTCACCTTTACTATCAACAGCTGTTGTTTGACAGGTCGTTAGAGAATGTCTGCAATTCTTGAAATGTTGAGAATGTTAGGAATGTTGACGTTAGAAATAATTGGAATTCCTAAAATTGTCACATAAGAATTGCATAGGCGGATTTTAAGAAAATTGATATTAAAGTAGTTAGGATGAACCGAAAATTCTGAAAATCAATAGGGTTCTAAGTTAGAAGTAATTATTCAATAAAATCAAAACCTTAAGTCAGTCAGAACTTTTGTTCTAGAGTTATTTTGCCGGCATACATACACACAGACGACCAGATGAAATTTTTTTTTTTCGCATTTTCGTACTCAGAATGATCGGAAACATGAAAAAAAGTTTTAAAAAATGGGGGTAAGAAAATTTTTTCGTCTGCACGAATACAATACTGAGGCCCCCATAGGAAGGGCCTCAGTAAAATCGCAAAAACCCTTCAAGGAGACACCAGCAATAAATGAAATGAAAAGTTTGGTGCAACCATTTCTGCTAAAAGGATACCAAATAAAATAATTATTGTTTAAGGACGCCACAGCACTTCCGGTTTTTGATTCAATGATTTAAATGTTAATTTTTGTTAATCCTTTCCTACGTAGATGTAGCTACACTCTTTAACCTCCATATTTTGTCCATTATATCGCAAAAATCGGCCAGCTAAATAATATACGCAACATACTCCTATTTTATGTTTTCAAATAAGTTGGTCTGGTGAAAAAGATTTGTCAACACCGCATATTTATTGAAATATATTATTAGGCAGCCTACCAATTCTTTAGCGAGGTTTTTCTCGTTTACGGTGAATTAAATATTTAGCTGTCTAATTAGGGTAGCAGCAGGTACTTGGGATAATCCGATTAAATAATAATCAAGAATTTGTTAGTAGCACTGACCTTCCCTAATCTATTATAAATAGGTAGGTATATTTACCCCTATTTCCAAATAATGATTGAAATAAATAAGGATATATATGGGCTATTTGTTTTATTTATTTTAGTTATGTGTATTTTTGATTTGTGTTCGTAAGTTTAATTTGAGTGTTTATTATATTTCCAGTATATTTTTATTATTTTTCGTTAATTTTACATTAACTGTGTAGTTTTTTTGTGTACTAAATTTGGGTGGTAAGTACCTATTACTATTATTAAACTATAATTTAAATTCATTATTTAAAAAAATATGGTTTGTGGATTGAAGTCTCCAAAAAAATCTATCGAAATCAGGTGTTAGGTCATTTTAACTTTATACCGAGTTCACCTGAAAATTTTGGGTAAATTGTTAGCCATGTATTTTTAGGGAGTAAAATCATACATATATTCCTTCTGGTTTGAAAACATTCCTTAAACATATTTTCTACCTATATTTAATACTTTTTAACAAATGAGTAATGGTATTTTTTTTTTAATTTTTAGGGTGTAATCATTGGACAGCTAACTTCCAAAATTTTGTACATTGGGGTTCGTAATAAATATTGCAGTGTGTGTGTGCTAGAGCCCACAATAAAAAAGAAAATCCTAGGCATCACGTATGTTTTAAAAATTGGAACAAAGAATCTGCCTCTATGGAGACAGATATCACAGAAGGATTTATGCAAAGCATTGATATGCACAGATTGAAATACCGGAAGTTAGTTGCCGATGGGGACTCCAGCTTATATGCCAATATAATGATGAAAGTTTCTTATGGAATGGAAGTTGAGAAAATTGAATGTAAAAATCACGCAGTAAAAAATTATGGGAAGGCTCTGTACAAATTGCAGAAGGATACGAAATTAAATGTTGAGGGCAGAAAATTATTAACCGTATCTAAAATAAAAGAATTGCAAAACATATCAAAGCGCATTATATATGAAAATGTTAATAAAACAGTAGATATTTTAAAAACAGAATTGGAAAATGGCCCAAATCATGTTTTTGAAGACCATTTCAGCTGCTCAGAGAATTATTGTACTACTGTTGGAAATATAACAAAAAGCTTAATTCCGACACTAGAGAGTTCAGGTATTTTCTACCATATAAAAGGTAAGAAATTATTTATTATCATTATATTAGGCAAATTGCTACCTTTACTACTTCTTTTATGCATACTTAACAAATCAACCCTACGGGCCCATAGGTTTTATCTTGCCATATTTACTTTAAAATGCAGCATTTTTAGGTCAAAATATATTTGCAAGTGTTTAAATTGTTAATTATAATGAACAATCTCATGTTTTTTATTCGATTTTTATGTTTTAGCTTCATTAGATCGTCTAATTATGATGGCTGGCAATTTACGAGCTAATGAAACTAATAACAAAGCAGAAATGTTTATGTCTTTGCTTTGTAAATTTAATGCTGGAAAAAGATTAAATCTAACCCAGAGAGGATCTTTAGAGACTAGAGCTTACATAGCAGCACTCAGATACAATTTGGGAATTTGCTGGGAGGAAAGTGTCTGGGAAAATGTGACGCAAAGATCAGCAGGTGAATATTTTAAAAAATATTTAAAAAACCTTAAAGACAATCATGACTGTCACAAGAAAAGACGAACCGGTTGTAAAAAAAAATCAAAAACCAACTTAAAAAGATCCGAAACAGATTATGGTAATTCCGTGCCAACTGCAACAATTTCTAATGAAAATTATGAGTCTGAGGTATCACGAATTTTAAAGAGGATACAGGTAAATATTTTACAACTCGTTTTATATGTATAAATTATATACTACGTTATATTATATGTATAATTTAAAATATTTTACTTTTAGGTTTCAATGGAGGACATTATTTTAATAGAAAGTAAAACAGGGGGACAGTGGGATAATCCTCAATACAGAAGTGAAAGACGAAACCGATTAACTGCATCTGTATTTGGGGAAGTTGTGAAGAGGAGGAAAACTACTCCTTGTCATAACCTAGTAAAAAAAATCCTTTACGAAACCAATTTCACGTCAGAAGCCATGTTATATATAGTAGAGCTAATGAAAGTGTTGCTTTGCAATTATTTTGGAAGAGAAGAGCATCTGAAAATATTAGAACATGCGGCATATTTGTAGACGAAGTGCATGGGTTTTTGGCAGCCTCTTCCTGATGGTAATGTATAAGAAATAATATACATATACGTCATGTCATTTTATTAATCATATTAATTTTATTATTTTTTTATAGCTCTTTTAGGGGATAATGCCATTATTGAAATAAAATGCCTTCATAGTGTTCACAAATCAAAAAAAAAAAACACTTAGGCAAGCAGTAGAAAAAAAATCTACAATGTGCTTGGAAATAAAAAATAATATGCTGTCGTTAAAGCGAAATCATAAATACTATTACCAAGTGAGAATTTGAAATCATTTGCCTGAATATTTTTTCATCTTTCAATATTTTTATATTTGCACGAAAATAAAATTATTTAAATGTGTTTTTAGCGTTAAATAAAAATAATAGTAGCATTTTTTTTTTCAATTCATAATTTTTTTTTTTTAGATTCAAGGACAGCTCAATATTTGTAGAAAAGATATGTGTTTTTTTATAGTTTACATAAACGACGAACAACCCCTACATATAGAAGTCATTCTAAGAGACCAACATTTTTGGCAGAATAATGTTTTACCCAAATTACTAAATTTTTATAATCAGTATGTAATGCCAGAGATTGTGTACAGGAATATTCCAAAACGACTGAAAGCCAGAGAGGCCATTTGAAAAGAATATTTTGTTATTTATTTACATACCTATTTATTGAATTAAATAAAGCTTTTACTGGATACTTAGAAATTTTTCATTTTATCCTTCCTAATAAAAAACATTTTTGAAGAGTAAATGAAAGAGTCATGAGTGTTATTTTAACTGTTTTTTTTTTGAAACCATGAACTGGAGCAAAAAGATATCGGTGTCACTAATAGCCTAATAAATATATTATTACATTACTGGCCTTCAAAGTAGCATCACTTTATTGCATTGATAAATATTTCTCTCATGATAGTTAACATATTGAATAACCAACTCATGCCCATTTTGCCAAAATCACACTTTATTTACAAAAAAAAACTCAGCATACATTAAAAAAATTACATCTTTAATACAAACTTTTGTTTTTCCTCGTATAAAGACATTTATTTTAAATATTGGTTAATTTAGATTTTAATTTTAGACAAAGCACCAAATTTTATTAAAAATTCGTCTTAATAAGAAAACGTTAAAAAATGAGTCTCCCTGTATATATAATTTATATTTGTGTAAATTGTAAATAACCATAATAATATAGTTTTGTCTAAATTCAAGACAATTTTAAAATATGGCAACACGGCGCCGAAGCTTTCGCTACTTTTGCTTCATCGGACATCTATAATTTAGGTCCTGAACTAAAAAACCACATGGACGTAGTGAAATTATTAATTTTAGATGAAATCGTATTTTGTACAGAACTTAAAAAGTACGCAACATTGATTATTAAAATTTGGCAAGAATATTCAGAAAAATATGTAGAATGCTATAAAGTTTTTTGAACTACATCTGTGACTATCACTTTTTTATATTTTTTAATAGTATTTAATAAATAGCAGGACAAATGAAAATGTCTCATTTCAATCATTAAACGTTTTTCTATAATCTGCCAAAGTTTCATTAAAATCCATCCAGTGAAAAATAAGTTCTGTAAAAAATCGTAAACCTATGTTTTGACCACGTAAAATACACTGAAATGGCGCCCTTAAATACGAGCAGTAACATGAAAACCGAGAATTCAGTGCAGGTACGTTCCAACTTCTGTAGTTTTGAAACGCAATTTTACGGAATCTGCTGGTCAGAAGATAATGTAAATTAGGGTACCATTGGAAAGTTAATTAAACGCCTTTTAAAATGTTTTGGCACTTGACCACCTTTCCCGTTTAAGATTTTAAGGGTAACATCTTTCTAGGAGGTTGAGTTACGAGTATTTATTGTAGGTGTCCCCTTCCAAAATAAAATTGACGGGTTTTTGCGATTTTTCATATTATTTACTTGAATGAAGATATTTAAGATGGGAACTTTTCGGTGTGTCACCCTGTATACAAGGTGTTTCATTAAGAATGGGACACAGAACAGCTGAAGATTTCCTGATGAAAAATACAAGTACAATTTGACTAAATTCGGTAAACATTGTTGGTGTCATAAGATACACCTATCACTTTATGAGCTCTTAACAAGAGTACATGATTTATTTAAAAAAACATCCAAAAATTTAAAAGTATAGTCCATATCAGTTTTAGTTAACAGGAGTTTTATTTTTAACTTGTTATATTCAAAGTAAATGTCATTTTTAAAACAATGTTTAACAATAACCGATGTTTATACAACGATGTTCACAGTTTAAACTAAGTTTACATTTTAACTGCGTATTGATTAACCCGCCGTTAGGCTAAAGAGTTTAACTTAAAATTAGATGTAAGTTAATTACCATTATTAGTTAATACATTTTTTTAACATAAAAAGGTACTCTTAAGGTAGTTCACTCGCGACAGTCGTACATAAAAATATCGCGTAATGGTGAATAGCAAAAGTTCGAGATTCTCAATGCTAATCAATTTTATTTTTGTAAGGGACTGTACAAAACACATGTATATAAACACATATGGACAAGTTATAATTTTAATTAATTTCATCCGGCAAACTTGCAAATATTTAAACGATATGGTATAGAAATTTGTGACTTCCTCATACTAATTTTAAGGGTTTGTTTTGGTTCAAACAAAACCGCTGATTCCAGTTCTCAAACACAGTGGACGAATTATTTTTTCAAGAACACGTCGCGAGTTTATAACAACCTCTTAGCTGATCGAGTGTTACTTTGATACGTGAAGTGGCTACAATGTTGCCAAGTTGTAATAATTTTACGAAACTACTCCTCAACTGCTTTAAAAATATTTTTATTTTAAAAATCTATATCTTTTTACTAAGACGGTCAAAAAATTCAGCGATTATCTATAAAATTTGATAACTTCTTGATTTATTTAACATTAGTTTTTAAAAAATATGGTTAGAACCGTTTTCGAGATATCTTGAAATAAATGCATTGCTTGTGTACATGATAGGCTTCAAGAGTGTTAATTATGCACATTTTGATTGTTAATATCTCGTTTCACAGACGGTCAAAAAATCTAATTTTTTTGGTTACGTAAACGACACTTTCATAAACCCCATATTTAAATTTTATTGAATTCTTAAGAAAAGCCGTTTTACGAGTGAACTACCTTAAAATATTCCATTACCGAGATTTTTCAGTTTTAGCCCCACTTACACATAATGAATAGCTTCACTGTATACCGGGTGACAAATAGATGTTACTATCTCTTTTAATTATGAAGCTATTTGGATCCAATTTGGAACAAACCCACTACCCTAATTTTCTAATTGAAAACTTATACTTAAACAAAAAGACCGACTTCCAGTTTTACTGGAAATGCCATTTAGTTTGATGGATTACACTGTTTGGAATCTACGGAGATCAAATTACATATGACAGTGTTACTAAATTTAAATTTTTACCAATAAATTTTTTGTTTAATGTTAGTAGACTATGAACTGAAAAATAATGTTCTAAGTGGTTCATGCGTCTCTAGATGCCTATTTTTTTTTTCAGTCGCCTCTTGCCACAGACCGTTGTGCGATTTTATTTCTGTGAAAATGGTTATTTTGTGGACTTCTACCACTCCGTTGGTAAACAGTATTAGTGCTATACAGAGTGAGCGATGTTTGACTTAGCACTCCGGATTTAAAAAAAAACTTAAGGGAATAATATAATATAATTAATTGGATCAAACATAAAGCGGAATACGTAAAATTCTTACAGCCGTATGCATAGTTGATCGCCAGCGACTCGCCAGAGATTCATTTCGGCGTATCCGCGGTCCGCCGGCGAAAGCCCAAAAAGCTGGCGACTCGCCGGAGATTGTCACCGGAATGTCATTTGACGCAAGTTTTCATGTTCTTTTATAGGGAATAATTTGATATTCGTTCATTATTTTGTGAGTTTTAAGAAATGAATCATGAATAAAATGCGAGAGATACCGGTGATAATCCCTATAAAAGAAAATGAAAACTTGCGTGAAATGACATTCCGGTGACAATCTCCGGCAAATCGCCACCTTTTTGGGCTCTCGCCGGCGGATCGCCAGCGAATCGCTGGCGATACGCCGAAATGAATCTCTGGCGAGTCGCTGGCGATCGACTATGCATACGGCTGTTAAACTATCACAAACCTACACTAGTAGCCACTCCTTTCATTCGTTTAATTTAATTAATAATCGAAACAGTTTGGATAATATAAGCTGACGTAAACGTCCTATATACATACTTTTTATGCATTTCAGTTCGTCATTATTCTTTTATCTTTATCGCCTTTTAGTAACAAATATATTTCTCTGAAGAAATAAATGTTAGGGCGGGCTCGGCCTATCATGCAAGTGGTCACACGCAAATTTCTCATTAACGTTTAAAATTAATCAAACTGGAGTAAAAAACTATATAATTGGTGTTGTAGATTTTTAAACTACATATAAAGTTATGTAGATGATTTACAGATATTAAATGTCTTCCTAATTCGAAAACATATTTTTTTACATACATTTTGTTAGATATAACTAAATTTTTGCAAAATGTGCATACAGAGAATGCATCGCTACATGTAGAAGAATCGTTCATTGAGTTTTTTTGATCCAAATAAGTAGTTTGTTTTGTGTCCTTTATATCAGCTTTTCTACGAGTATTATAAAAAAAGCATGTGCGCAGGCGAATACTGCAAATCAAACCTTGTGAGTTGAACATTATATTTTTTCTACGGCTGTTAAAAATTAAAAATTAGTCAAAATAATAAAATGCTGTTTTGTATTGTAACCTCAGCTTCTTTCTTTAGGAATATTAATTAAAATGAGGATGAGTCACATAAAACTCTATAAATGCATATGTCTGAAACCAGATAACATTTTAAAATTTAAACCTATTAAAAGTCATTTGGTCACTAGGGATGGGTGATTATCGATCATTGAAAATAATCGATTATTTTCGATCTGTCGATTATTTTCAAACAATCTACTTTTTTGTCGTATTTCCTTTAAAATCGACTACTTGATTATCTTTGAAAAATCAAAAATAATCGCTTAATTAAAAAGCCAGTCTTTACAAAAAATA